TTGATACGCCTTAGGTTTCACAAATTAGGGTTTGCCCTAATTTCCCCTCCAAGAGAGTGAACTTTCTCCACCAACACCAAATGAGAAATAATCACAAAAAAAAAGGTAGAGAAGAAGAATGAGAACCTTTGCATTAGCAAGCCAAGAGAAAACAAGATAAGTTTGTCCACTTCGAGAAGGACAAGATCTCCCAAAAGAAAACCCTAGAAAAGCACAAGAGAAGACTAGAGGAAGAAAACTAGAAAGAGAATACACTTTTTCATAATGCCAAAACTAAACCCTAATAGCTCCCTTCATACCCTTTCAAAAAGACCCTCCCATCCCCAAAATACCCCCACTTAAGTGGGGGGTCCCTCCTTTGGTCCAGCCGGGTCACCGCCCCCCCCCCTTCTTCCGCCTGTAGACCCGCACGGGTCCAGGCGGGGCCGGTTCGCCCGGCCCATCATCTACCTCCAAAAATTCCTCTTCCTCATCTACCCCACTACAACGGCCTTGACCTTCTCCTCTAATAGCACAACAACAACATCAAACCTTTATCCCATTACGTAGGTCGGCTACATGAATCATTTTTCTCCATTGTGCCATGTTAAGAGTCAAATTCTCATTTAAATCTAATAAAAAAAATATCATTTCTAATATTTTCTAATCAAGTCTTTTAGGTCTACCTCTACCTTTCTTAATATAGGTCAAATTTAATACATCTACTCTCCTAACCGAATCATCGAAAGGCCAACGTTTTATGTGACCAAACCGTCTAAGGCGACTCTTTCTAATCTTATCTGTCATGGGAGCTATGTGGGCTCCAAAAATTCATGCCCCAGCCTCTTCACGGCCACTATATTATGACAATCATACTTCCATTTATATTAGCATCAATTCCCTTTTTTATGAATGAACTTAAAAATATTAAAGCTAATCCTCATTTCATATATGATGCTATACTTTCCAAAAATACAGTCACTACTCAAGTTTCCAATACATAACAAACTGCGTATATTTTTTACCAAAGCTATGGGTCATCACCATGTTACATAAGCCACTATGTAACATGCTATAACTATAAATAGATATGCTCCAACTTGAAAAGGGACGTTCGCATATGATTCATGTTTAGGAAAATAATATTGGAAAAGTTTTATAATGGAGAGGATTTGATTTGGAGAAATCAGCATTCATTCCCTCTTAATTGTGATTATTCTCCCCTTTATATATTTTCTATTGTATTTTTCCTATACACCATATAAATAGGCAACTATAAGACAACAAATTTTTTCCTCCCAACAATTAGTCAGTTCAATTTCTAATTCCAGCAATAACCACATTAGCCAAACATGTTGCAACCACAACCGCCAAAAAGTGGGTAAATTTTAGTTAACGTTAAGTATTGATGTAAATTTTGAATTATTATTTTTAGTTAGGAATAGCACACAACAATACACATGTTTCTTCCCATTTGACAAAAGCAACCTGTATTTCAAATCAATGTCAACATTATGCATATTTTGTGATCAAGCCAGTTGGTCCTGATGCAAAGCACCTCAACTCAAATCCTCCACTCAATATATTTTGTAAGAACTTACATGCACGAGATAAGAGGGCTCAAGTTGGAATCAATTACATATACTTATAAATGCTAGCATAAACTTATAGCATATTCTTTTAATTTCTTTGAAGAATAGGGCTAAAGTGTGTTGATACAGGCCAAAAATTCAGTTCTAAAAAGGTCATCTGCTATAAATCCACCTATTTAATACACACCATAAATAAACAAGGTATTGGTTTCCATATAGAACATAGAACAATTCCCATAATATTTGAAACACATGTAAATTGTCATAATCATCTCCAATGACCGCTCACTGACAAAGCACATGGAACAACACGATAAGTGTCAACCTCCAAACTCACATGTGCACAAATGTATTGCTTTAAGAACTGTAGGTCAAACTATACAGCAATAGAATGAATAAGTACTGTCTTAATACTCCAATGCATCTTTCAACTTTGTTAATACCATTAATGAAAATGTTTAAAAAATAAGCTTTAAAACATTTATAGTCCTAGTAACAAATTAACGAAGATGAGTTGGGTTAGAAAAGAGCAGACCAAAATCAAGAAATCCAATGCGACCATCACGAAGCAACCACAAGTTTCCAGCATGTACATCTGCATGGAAAGTCTCACATGCAATTAAGCTTCCAAACCTACATAATAACGTCCCAATTGGGCGTAAACGTCAATATAACTTTATTCATGCATGCATGCAAAAAGTTAGGCTCGACAGTGGTAAAACCGTCAAGAATAATTGACATATGATTTGAAGAAAATGTTACAGAAGAATTACAAACTGCAATAAGAAATGCAAGACATGATAAGCATTTTACCACACATTAAGCGCAGTTACAAGAGTCATCTCTGGGTCAGGGACAAGTGAATTTATAGAATCAAGATCAGTGAGAGGAACTCCATAGAGTCTTTCCATTGTCAGCACACGCCTGGTACTACAGTGCTGATAAACTTTTGGAGCTTTGGCCTGTCTCTCAAGTCCCATGGTTTCTAAATATCTCCTGAAAGTCTCTATATTAATAGCTTCTTTTTGGAAGTCGACCTCTTCAAGCATTGATGCTTTTATGTCTTCAACAATACCGACCTAGCGTAAAAGCTGATCAGAGTAAGAGGCAATCACATTATGCGCAAGTATATACTGGGCTAGAATCAGAACAGGTAACAATGAACTGGAAGCAAAAGAAAGAAGATAAATCATATAAATTTTATAGTTGATTTCCTTGCTCTTTAATTCATGATTTCGCATCTCTATGTTTGCCTTGCCACTCAATACTAAATCTATCTATATGGGATTTATAAAAAAAAATTAAAAAAAAAATTAAAAAAAAATTCTATATGGGATTTATACACAATGGATCGTTATCAGCTTGGAAGTGATAACTTATTTCAAGCACCATTGCCTTAAGCGACATTCAGAACCATGGAGAAAATCTTGGGCATGTTTAACCAAGACTTTTGACCAGCCACAAAATGAGATATGCTGTCAGGTAGGTACTTCGGGCGTAGGACACACAAGAACCAAAAAAGGTTAATATAGTGTGTAGAATATGTAAGATTTCTTGGAACCACTATAAGCAGAAAAATACATGGCCTTAATGCTAATAGGATTCTCAATAACTCATTAAACAAAAAGGAAGCTGTTAGACCGGTCAAGGCGGGACCGGTTCACGGGCGGAAATCGCGAACAGGCGGATCTGGCGGAGAACGAGCGGCCCGTCCGCCCCCGTAGAGCCATTTAGGAAGCTTTTTTGAGCGTTTTGAGAGGGAAATTTGAATGTAGGGACTGTTTAGGGAATTCCTTTTGATTTGTATGCATTAAATAGTAGATTTTCCTAGGGTTTGATCATCTTGAATTTGAGTTTTCCCTTTGAGATCTAGTTTTTGTCTTGGGCTCTTGGCTTTGCCGGAGATCGTTGGAGAGTTCTTCCTTCCTCTCGAATTGAAGGAAAGTTGTATCTTGCAAGTGCTTTTAATCCTCTATTGAAATAAAAGTGTTTGCAATTATTTTTCCTACGTTTCTCCCACGTTTTCTCTCAGATTTTCTCTGGTTTGGGCTGTTTTCCTGCTGTGGACAGCAGTTTTTCTTTATTTGATACTTGATTTGGGTTAGGATTGCTTGTGAATACAAGCACTTCCTATCAAATTGGTATCAGAGCAACGATTTGGGACCACCGGCGGCTGAATTTCAGAAATTTCAGCAAGATCTTCGTCTCCGGAAGAAGATTTTTGTGGATCCGATAGAAGAAAAATGGCCGGTAAAAAGGTGGAAGTTTTAGAAGGTGAGTTTGGTCAACTGAAGACAGATCTGGAGGGGAAATTCATGGAGATCTCTACCAACAATGAGAGGTTGATGATAACAAAAGCTACCTTTTCTCTGTGACCATTTCTCCTATATAATAAACTACTCAAAAGAAATGCTAAAAATAGAGAAAATAGGGATTGGCTGAAAATAATTAGTGCGGTACTATTTGACTAAAAGAGCAAATGAGATAAAAGGAACATATCAGACCGTTAGCAATTGGGTTGTGCTGATCCGCAGGTTCTCCGTAGTATTCTATTGCATCAGTCATCCCCGGCTTCAGAAGAGCTCGACTCCGACGAGCTAAATTGGAGAATGCCATCATCCGGTGGAACATAAGGCCAAATATCCGACACGTTAAAGGTCGGAGAAGTGTTACAATCAGCAGGGAGTGCGACTGTGTAAGCATTGTCATTGATCTTAGTTGTAATGGGCAGTGGTCCAATTTTGCGGCGAGCGAGTTTAGAGTAAGCTTCATGTGGGAATCGCTCACGACGCAATCGCACCATAACCAGATCGCCAACGTTGAAGAGACGTTGTCAACGATGAACATCCGCAGCTGCCTTATACTTTTTTTTTGCTTGGATCAGTTGTTGTCACACATTAGATAGCATCTCCTTAAAGGTGTCAGTGAATGTAGCTGCCGCATTTGACTTGCACTTAGGTAAAACAGAGACTTCGAGTGCAGTGTTAGGATGTTTAGTATACACAATGCTGAAAGGTGTTTTACATGTGGATCTATTGGTCATGGCATTATATGCGAATTCGGCCGTGCTTAGAACTTCCTCCCATTGACGTGGGTGCTCCTGTACTAAGCACTGAAGCAAGCTTCCCAGAGTTCTGTTGACAACTTCGGTCTGGCCGTCAGTTTGTGGGTGGTACGCGGAGCTGAGATGGATGTCGGTGCCCAAACGCTTCCATAACTCGCGCCAGAAGTGATTTATGAATTTTACGTCTCGGTCTGAAGTCAAACTTCTAGGTACGCCATGTAGGCGAACAATTTCATCAAAGAAATGGTGAGCAATAACCACGGCATTAGCAGTTTTCTTACATGAAACAAAATGCGCCATCTTGGAGAACCTGTCGACGACCACCATGATGGAGTCGTTGCCTCGCTTAGTCCGTGGTAATCCCAATACGAAGTCCAGACTAAGATCTTCCCAAATCGAATCTGGCACAGGAAGAGGTAGATACAATCCGGTATTCTGAGATTCTCCCTTATAGCTTTGGCAGACAGGGCAGCTGTCAACCATTCGGAATACATCTCGCCGAAGTCTCGGCCAATAGAACTGTGCCTGGAGTTGGCAGAGAGTGTTTTCTCTGCCTACATGTCCCGCCAACGCACCTCCATAAGTTTCTCTAATCAAATATTGCCGCCAAGAAGATACAGGAATACATAGCAAATTTTGCTTAAATAAATAGCCATGCCGGATTGAATAATCTTCTACCATGGGTTGTGTTTTGCATTGTTTCCATACATTGCCAAAGTTTGGATCCTCCTCGTACAGATCCTTTAAACAGACCAATCCTGTTATTTCAGTTTGCAAAGTAATCAGGAGAGTTCGCTTCGACTTAGTGCATCAGCCACTCGATTCTCGGCGCCGGGCTTGTGTTTAATCGTGACACAAACCTTTGGAGGAACATTATCCATCGAGGGTGCATCCGGTTGATGGTCTTTCAGCTATTTATGAACTGCAACGCTTTGTTATCACTGCAGAGAATAAATTCTTGATGTAACACGTATTGTTCCCATTGTTTCAAAGCACAGACAATGGCGTATAGCTCTTGTTCATAGGCAGTCCATTTCTGTCGCGAAGAGCAAAGCTTTTCACTAAAGAAAGCTATAGGCATGTTGCCTTGAGATAACACAGCCCCCACACCGACCGACGAAGCATCTGTATCTACCTCAAATAATTTATCAAAGTCAGAAAGAGCTAGGACCGGTGCCGAGCATATGGCTTCCTTGATAGCTTCGAAACTGTGTTGTTGTTCCTCGGACCAACCGAATACCTTGGCCTTTAGACCCTCCGTGACAGGAGCCATAATCATGCTGAAGTTTCTGATGAATTTACGGTAGAAGTTAGCCAATCCGTGAAAACTACGAACTTCAAAGAAAGATTGTGGCGTTGGCCATTCGATGATCGCATCAATCTTCGTGGGATCCATGGACACTCCTTCTACCAAGATGACAAACCCGAGAAAACAGACTCTCGGAACCCCCAGTTCGCACTTGGACCAATTGATAAACAATTTCTGGTCTTGCAAGGTTTCAAAGAGTGTAGTTAGATGTTGCAAATGCAGCTGCCATGACAAACTAAATACCAAAATATCATCGAAATACACGATGCAGAACTTCCCCAGAAATGGTTTTAACACCTCATTCATCATGCGCATAAAGGTTGACAGAGCATTACAGAGCCCGAAGGGCATAACCTTCCATTCGTAGAGGCCTTGAGGTGTTTTAAACGCCGTCTTCCATTCATCTCCGGGGCGAATTCAAATCTGATGATATCCACTCCTCAAGTCCAGTTTGGAAAAAATTGATGCTCCGGTCAGTTAGTCTATTAGCTCCTCAATGCATGGTACCAGGAATCTATACTTTATGGTTATCTTGTTGATGGCTCTACTGTCTACGCACATCCGCCAGCTCCCGTCCTTCTTTGGGACTAATAATGCAGGTCCGACACACGGGCTGACGCTAGGCTGAATTAACTGTTTTGCTAGCAGCTGGTCTACCAGTTCTTGCAGAACTTGTTGTTCTCTTGGGTTGAGGCGATAGTGACGTAGGCTCAGTAAGCTAGCTCCAGGCACCAAATCTATTTGTTGTATATTTCTAAGTGGCGGAAGTTCAGCCGGTAAATAATCTGGGGAAATTGCCTTATAATGCTCCAGTAATTTCACTATCTCCTCGTGTATACTTCCCTGCTTGGCTCCGCAGTTGCGCTCTGCCATAACCAACGCGAACGATGGTTCTACTTGCCGCCACAACTGTAGAAGTTTGGATCCACTGACCACGTGCATTGCAGCAGAGTTGGAAGTGTCACTCTTAGTAGAATTCCTCTCAATCGAACTAGGTAGTAGTCTCAACCGTCGACCCTTCCATTCGAGCGAATAACAGTTGGCTCGGCAGTCATACATTGCCCGGCATCGAACTGCCACTTCCTTCCCAGTATGAGGTGGCACAGTCCATCTCAACAACATCACATACCACCTCGCACATATATTGTTTCCCTATAGAGAATGTAACTCGACACGAATCGGAAACTGAGATTTCAATGCCCCGTTTGACCCAGTTGATCTTGTACGGATTTGGATTCTTGAAGGTTTTTAATTGTAAATTTTGAACAACTGAGCGGGAAATCACGTTCTCCGTGCATCCGCTGTCCACTAGAAGATCACACATCGTCCCATTGATCGTGAAAAGTGTACAAAATAGGGC